TACATCTCAAGACGAGTACGCTGGCCTGTCTCTCACGGGCGGATGGCCCCCCGAGGGCGGGAGCATTGCCGCGCTTGGCGCCGCTGCTCCCGCCTCGGCTGCTGCGGATGACCAACCTGTGGAAGGACTTCCAGGGGCTTCCTGCTGCGAGGCCGCGCGCATACAACAAGGCTCATCCTGCTCAACCCCCGGTCGCAGGTGCTGGACTCATTCTGCCCGAGGTTGCGCGACGCAGGCCCGCGCATAGCGACTGTCAAAGCATGCAACTATTTCCCTAAGTGTTCGCGGGGATGCGACTGCCACTGCTCGCGCCTCCTGGACATATCGGCGATGGCCGTGGACGTGGAGCACGCGAGACTCTCGGCTCTTTTTGCACGACCTTGCGACGGCGATTCCGCGTTTTTCCGCGATGTGGCAGGCGAGGGGCGCAGGCGCCACTGCCCCCGAAGACTTCGATCTGATACAGTTGGCCGACGACGACGGCGACGACTACGACCTTGACCACCTCTGCGTCTTGGCGGATGGCGAGATGGATCCAGATGCACCCCCCTTCGCGAGAACCCCGGCGGCACCCCTGCTCCAGCTGACAGCGTGCCCCGTCGGTGCCCCTGCCGATCTTGCTTTCTGTTCAGGCGGCTGTCACTCTCTGGAATGCCAGCTAATGAGGAACCGCTTCAGGTGCGAGGGTTGCCGCTCCTGGGGTCGAAGGAGGCTCGCACAGCGATGGCGAGACTCTTCCTGTCCTTCAGCGTGGTCTTCTTGGTGAGCAGCCTGATGGTGCAGCACTTGACGGTCTTCATGATGGGTTGGTCCGCGGCGTTCCAGGCGACGATAGTGCACTACCTGACCTTCGGCTGGCGCCCCCTGGCGACGTGGATCCTGCTGCTGCCGCTGCTCGCGCTGCCCCAGGTGCTGGCACTGGCCTGGTGCAGGAGACCACGCGATGCGACAGCTCGAACAAGACCGACTCGCTTCACTATGCCCCCCCCCCCCCAGTGCACGCGCCGCTCGCTCCGCACTCCTTGGCCCTCATCATGGCCACGACGGGGGCCACCACAATGACGCCGCTCGTCGCGATCACCTGCGCCGCGACGACAACGTGCACAGCATCAGAAGACAGGGGGTTCAGCCCCCACCTCTCGACGCAGTTGCGCCCCTGGAGCTCGTAGAGGAGATTCCCGACGTCGATCCCTTTCGCGCTGCAGCTGGTGCTCCTGCGCGCCCCGCTGCCGCTGTTGGGGGCGGTCTCCCTGGACTCCTACCTGGCCATGCCGCACGCATTGGGCCTCATTATGCCCACGGAGGCGTTCCTCGTGCCGCTGGAGATTTTCATCGTACCGAAGCCGTTGCGATTGCCGACGATAGTTGACCTCGCCATGATCTGGCCGACGTGGCTGCTGAAGATGGCGATGCACCCGTCCGCGCTGCTTGCGATACCCCGCGGCCTGCTGGAGATCATCACGACGCATTGCGTTACGGCGAAACTGGGGCCCAAGCGACACGCGGCGTTTGGGCCGCTCATCCAGGTCTCATCCCCCAGGAAGGTCTCGGTGCCGGGGCTGTTGATGATCGTGCTGCACCCACTTGTGTTGCTAGCGATGCCCTTCGGCCTGCTGAGGCGCTTCACGACGAATCGCGCCACGACGAACCTGGGCTCCAAGATGAACCAGACCCTGCGCACGGTGCTGGGCACCTTCGGGAGGGCGCGCTTCCTACTGACGTTCTGCGAGATGAGCCGTCACATGAAGGACCATGTGTTCCACAAGGTGCTGAACTTACTTCGAGATCCACCTCACGCTAGCAGAAACGCGCACCATAAGGCTCTAGAGGAGATTCGGACGTCCACCCGTTCGGACGCCACCGGTGGCGTGGACACGGTGCCGCCTCCTGATTGGGCTGTGCCTGGTGCCCCGTTCCTTCGATGCGACGACCTCCTACAGCTACGCCGATGCTGCACTTCATTGGCCCTCTTAGCTGAGGAGCTGAGTCATGTGCGAGGTGATTCCCATAAGCTCGAATTTGCGACTACTCTGGCTACGGCGCCCCCGTTGCCTCCTCCGACGCGTGCACCTTGCTGCTTGCTTTCGTCGAGCAGGCATGTTGATCCGAGTCTTGCTTCGGGCCCCCACTGGAGGCAGCAGGCGCTGCAGAAAGCACTGGGCGAGATACGAGGTATGCGTCCTGGCTACGTGCCCGCCTTCCTCAGCGAGCACGGCATCCCCAACGACTACAACTACAACCTCGGTGCACGCCCTGGCTTCGCCAGTCTGCCTTCGAGGGCGGTTCCTTCCCGACGCCGACGGCCTCTGCGCCGTCACCCCCACGCCTGTTCACCCTCGTGAACTCGTCCACCGCCGTGGAGAGCAAGCTTTCCAAAGAGGTGCAGGACATCAAGCAGGACTTGCTGAGAGGAGGGGCCCGCGCTGCCTGTGGCTAGGCGGCCGCTGGGAGAACATGCGGCCCCCCGAGTCGATCGTCGATCCCTCCTCCTCCTCCTCCTCCTCCTCCTCCTCCTCCTCCTCCTCCTCCTCCTCCTCCTCCTCCTCCTCCTCCTCCTCCTCCTCCTCCTCCTCCTCCTCCTCCTCCTCCTCCTCCTCCTCCTCCTCCTCCTCCTCCTCCTCCTCCTCCTCCTCCCTCCTCCTCCCCCTCCTCTTCCTCTTCCTCCTCCTCCTCCTCCTCTTCCTCCTCCTCCTCCTACCCCTACTCTTATTCCACGTCCTCCTCCCCCTCTTGCTCAAGTCAACGCACCCAGTAAGGACGCGCGCCTTCATTTGGGGTACCCTTGTGCCCGTGCCTCTGCGGCCCGTCCTTTGCCGTTTTCACGGGTCGCCCGCCGCCCAAGAGATCCCAACGTCGGTTTCCAGGGGTTTTGCGTCTTCACCACCCGTCCGCAATACACGTTTTGCTTGCACGATTAACCGGAACAGTCAACCCGCAGAAGAAGGACGCACGATAAGGATGCAAGGGCCTTGGAAGGCCATGTCGACATTTTGCGGGCGGGGCGCGGCCAGCGAAAGCAGCCAAAGATGGGTCCAAGGGGAAGGATGCAGAGGCCTTTTGGGAAGATGCTGGATATCCCCTAGTCTCTCCTCAATCGAAGAGAAAGGGAGAGAGAGAGAGAGAGAAAGAAAGAAAGAAAGAGAGAGAAACAAACAAAAACCCTATAAACAGAAACTGTTGGCGCTCCGCGCAGATTTCTTGGATCCTCGCTGGGCCCCCCCGGCGGCGCTTCGGCGACGCCCCTGGCGCGCTCCGAGCGCCGGGGAGGGGAGTCCGGCGCGGATCCAAGAAATCCGCGCGGACCTCCAAGAGTTTATGTTTATGTGGTGTTTGTTCTTTCTCTCTTCAGGGTGCAGCAGCAGCAGCAGCAAGACCCGCCTGCCAGCCTTCCGCGCCACCGCTGCCGGGCCCGACGGGGGCCCGACGGGGACTTTAAAAGGGGGCCGCCCTGGCGCCCGCCACCTCGGGGGGCGCGACGGGAGGCGGCCGCCCCCGCTGGGCGGTGCGGCGGCCCTTCTGTCGGAGCCGTGGCCCCGCAGGGAGCTCGGCGCCTGCTGCCACACTGGCCAGTGGGTAGCGTTTCGCTGTCAGCCGAGTGCACTGCTGCCACCACGCACGGGATGAAAGAGGCTCCAGTTCAAGAGGGAAAACCAGGCACAGGCGCAAGTAGACGCAAATTCCCATGAGCAGATGGGAAGATGTGGGAGGGAGAGGGGAAGACGGCAGCCCAGAACATGTAGAAATTTGGAGACCCTGGAATGCGATTCGGTTAGTTATTCCCGTCCTCCTCGCATCAGTCCCAGACCCCCTCGCGTCGTGCCAAGATGGCGACAGAAGTTTCTGGCCCGGGGAATGGGTGCAGACTGGACCTCTGTGGGTCCGCGCTGGGGGAAGAAACATGTCGGAGATCCCGCGGGATGGAGGTGTTGGGTTCGAGATCGTCGGGCTTCGGTTGTTTTCATATGACTCATGTGTTCCCTACTCCGGATTTCGTAATAAAGGGAGGGGGGTCTCATTTCGGGGGGGGTCTCTTCCAGGCTATCTTGGAGGGCCTGGGGGGGTCTGGGGACGATGTTTTGGAGGGTTCTCCCACGGGGGGGGGTCTAAAACTTCTCGTCTGGGAGGGTTGAGACCCCCTCCCTTTTATTACGAAATCTGGAGTATTGGTGTTCCAGCCTCTCGGGATGGTTTCCGGCCGCTGCGCTCCGCCACAGAGCGTCATTGGGGGGTGTCCAGAGCGGCCTCGGAGGGCCGATCTGGAGACCAGAGTTACGACCTGCAAGCCAGACCATCTCGCCATGAGGCACAGGTCAGGAGGAAAAGAAACACACAGACACAAGTAATCCTCGATTTCCCCAGAAAATATGGGAAAATATGGGAAGTGGGCGGGAAGACAGAAACCCAGAAAACATAGGAAAATATAGGGAAATATTTTATTTGTGTGTATTTATTTGTGTGTCCTTGGGCCCCTTCAAAAGGAAACGTCGGGCATATCCCCCCACGGGAGGGACGAAAAATCTGACATTGTCGCAAAAAGAGAGAGAGAGAGAGAGAGAGAGAGAGAAAAAAAAAATCGTTCCCAGATGGTTGTTTCTGACTATGTTTGAATAGTTATTTTTACCCTGTACAAGGACATGCCCGACTTCAGGCCAAGGGTTCTGAAGGGAGCGGGCCCCAGCTTGGGGCTCCCCCAGGGCTGGTTCTTCGTCCGGATAAGTTGTGGGCCTTTTCCTTCCAGGAGCCGTTTGCGCCACAGCAAGCACGGGAAAGCCAAACAAACAAAGGAATCACACACACAACAAACACATACACACACACACACACACATACACATACATACACATACACATACACACACACACACATTGAAACAAAAATTATGTGTGTGTGTGTGTTTTGTCCACCGTGTGTGTGTGTGTGTCTGTGTGTTCCACAGTGTGTGTGTGATGTCCGGAGCACACCCGGGCGCCGCGAAAGATTTCCTTTTTTGCCATCCTGAG